AGAATGAAATGTATACTTCAAAGGGTATCTTTAGTGATACCACTAGTGATCATAAATAAAGGAATATAAAGACAGATTTCTAGGAAACAATACAAATATATATTTCAGAAAAATACAACATAACAAAACTTAAAACGAGTTCTACATTATCAACTCAGACTCTACATTTTCATGAAGTTCCTGGTAAAGCACTGTTTAATGAAGAATTGACATAAACTGTTTACAACAAAATTTAAAATTTACCATAACACTGTTACAGGTATAGGCCTACTCTAACTGATTTTTTTAACATTCAAGTTAACTTAGGTACTAGTTAAGTGATGTTTGTTGATTAGTCAGGGTTCTAAAGTACTTGTAACCACTAAAAGGTAACAAATATTGTGCCAATTAAAAGTATTTTACGATTGATAAAAACGCAAGCAATATACATATTTATGACAAGACAAGATTAAATGGTACGGTACATATAAATGTGATAGATGATTTAATGGAGGAAAAATGAGTAAGAGAAAATCTCATTATAAAAGATAACATCAGTTGTATTATATTTAATTCTCATAGAAAGTATAAATGAATAAAGGAATAAAAGAACGAGCCTATCAACCAGTGTACTGATGTTGAAGGTTTATTTTCTCTTCGAGCTTATCTTTTGTGGTGGTTAATCATTTAAACAATGCTGTTGATCATATTTACTACAGTTGCATTACAAAGATGAAGGTTTATTTTCTCTTCAAGCTTATCTTTTGTAGTGGTTAATCATTTAAACAATGCTGTTGACCATATTTACTACAGTGGCATTACAAAGATTTGTGTCACAGAAAGAAAACTAGTATTTTACAGTAGAACAATATGGTAAATGCTCAATGGAACTAAGTTTTTTTCTAAGCCTTAATCCTGTAAAAGTTAGAAAAGTAAAATAGTAGTCTGATCAAAAAATACATCCAGATAATCAACAAATAAACAAAGCCACACAAAAACCGACAAATAAAAACTAAAAAAAATACACATGAGATATACTATAAGAATACGTAACAAAAACAAAATATTAGACACAATTTTGAGTCAATATCACAATGGACGGCAAAACAATAAAAGCAGTCGAGGTTTACTGACACAAAAAGTTTTATAATATAATAATACAATTACCTCGCCACAGCTCTGAAGTTTCCGTATATTACGGCCGTCACGGCATCAAAATCCCATCCTCAGATATGTATATCCACCACAATTGGGGTCCGTCAAAATTTACACACACACAAAACACGATAAAAAAACATTTAAAACATATAAAACAATCACATTCTGTCATCATGTGCGCGACAGGCCCTGTCTCTTGTTTTACATGTTTTTTATCGTGTTTTCGTGTGTGTGAAAACTATGACAACGCCAATTCTGGTGGATATACATATCTGAGGATGGCATTTTGATGCCCAAAACGGCCGTTATATACAGAATACAGAAACTTCAGAGCTGTGACGAGGTAATTGTATTATAATATTATCAATGACTTGTATTATCAATTCGGCTCAGGGTCTAAATCATGTCTATTTTATTGAAAAAAGTTCATCAGTAATCTTCCATTATCGTAGAACTTGCCAGTTTCGATAAGAATTTGATCAATCACAACTTAACATTGAATTTAGATAAAAACTCAATGTGTATCAGTTTTAGTAACCACTTAGTTAAAACAGGCTATTCAATGGATAGAACTGCAGATATTTATGGTGTTTTCTTTCAAATGGTATGGAGGTGAGTCTATCTTACTCGAGCAAATTAGACCCAAAAGGCTTAAACATACATTAAATAATTCAATAACATTAGGTCTCTGTAGTCTGTGTATAAGAAAAGAAGTTTTTAAAAGCTAACTGAACTTAATCTCTAAAAGATGTTCTAATTTTAGCGAATTTCCCTATAGGGAAGTAGCTATTACCATAGGTCTCATGGTAAGACCTAGGCCCCGGGGACCGATTTACTTTTTCATTTTGATGTCCCCAGAGGCCAAAAACACCATTCGTTCAAATTTTTATATATCTATATATATATGTGTCCATCCGCGCACGATAACTTGAGTAATTTTTTGTCCGATTTTGATAAAATTTGGTTTGAAGGTTTAAAGCGGGATAAACTTGAATGAGTTCGCGACCCACATGATCGGACTATGGGAACGAGGGTTTATGGGGGGTTTTATGGGGTAAAAATTAGTTTTTTCCCATTTTTGACCCTAAAAAACACTAAATTTCACAATTTCTTTTTAAACCATTTTGTAGAGCTTAAAAAAAACAAATTAATTTAGTATATTGAAGCGTTATTATGCGTCTAATTGTTACGGAGAAAGTTCAAAAAATTGTAATTTGAAAATTACCATGTTATTCTTATGGAGAATAAGTCAACTGTTGTAGTTTGCTTGTTTATGAACATATTTTGATCAAATTTGGAAAATACATTAATTTTTTACTAAACTACAGTACAGTACCTTTAACATTTTACATAAAAAAAAAAACTTTTTTTACCCTCCCTGTTGCAGCAAACCTAAGTACTCGTTAAACAAATTCTGTTTAAATAGGGAATAAATGTGATATTATATTTTTAAGGAGACATTTTAGTGTAAATCCAATCAGGCAAACGGAAATTCGCTAAGTCTGCAGGTTTTGCTGCGGCGGGGGTATTATTGTTAGTAGTATACCTTTAGAATACAAGAAAAGTAATAAAAATCTCTATTATTATCACTAAATTACAAGTCAAGCTTAAAGCAAGTATTAAATACAAATAATACCTATCAAACAGTGCTCGATTTGCGGGGGGAATGCAGCAGAACAGAGTTTCTTTACATCTCTTTTGGAAAGATAAAAATATTGGCATAAAATAGGTACAAATCACATTAAATGGGTTACAGTTCCGTCACCTCAATTTTTACAAATCGAGCACTCCTATCAAACATCTAAAGAAATATAAATGCTATCAATAAAACCCTTGTTCCAAAGCATATTACACACTAAACAATAAACACTATGCTTCATACAAATATAAAGTATTATACTATTTTTTCCACAACATTTTTGATTTTAAAAACTCCTGAGCAAAATTCTTATCACAATATTTATTATTTATAGTCAGTGTGACTTAAGTTTGAGAACGCAAGCTTATATAATATGGAAGTATATAAATTCATCAAGAAGATGAAATCAACAAATATTCATAACAAATAACATACATTTATAAAACATTTGTAAATATTGTAGATATATATTACTTTTACATAAACACATATATACTTAGCTTACTTAAACATAAACAGAGTATATTGCTTTTTAAAATCCCTCACTTTGACAATAAAAAATTGATTTGCCCACAGTTTAGTGGTGTGATAAAATCCTAAAATGCTATAGACAGCCTTGCAGTTTTGATTTAGTTGAAAAGAATTCGTTAAGGAAAGACAAACTTGATGTGGCCATAATGTGATTGTTTTAGGACAAAAATCCACCAAACTAACCTATACCAGTGTAAAAACCTGTTAACGGCTTTCTTCCAATCTTTTACCAAATTTTCATCTCTTTGTCTAGGTCTGAATGTCTTCCCTTCTACTCTCCTCAACTTTGAAATATCTTCTTTGCTTTTCCAAATACCTGAAAACAAGAAAATTGATAAACCGACTAAAAAAATTGGGTACACGCCATGAAATGCCTGATCAGTTATTAAATAAAACTCCTATATCTATTTTAATCTTGTTGTAAGGTATGAGAATACTGTTTGTTTTTAACATTTTTTTTTATTTACAGTAATGTGTTTATATTTTTTTCAAAAATGTAATCAGTTTTAAGTTTGTTGTTTTGGTTTGTCAAACACACAAGCTCATTTTTCTTTTGTAATTAAATAATAAAATTTTGTAATTTTTGAATTTCTTTATTAATGACATCGTCCATTATATTACCAAGAGCAAATCACGTACAGTGACGGCGACAACATGACACTAAATTTTATTGTGTTTTAGTGAGTGGTAAACAAAACTAAAGTATTAATTCTGTAAGCGATTAAAAAAAAAAAATCTAAATTGTGAGAACTTGACAGCTCGCAGAATGACAGGAGAGGGGCTCAAACTAAAAGTTTTGGTCCCAGGGGGTCGGGAAAAATAGCGGATTATGTCCAAACCTACCAAAAAAATGAGAAATAACAGAAAATATTCTTCCATTTAAAATGCATTAGAATTGAAATACGTTCTGCTTTGTTTACATAAAACATGTAATTAAAATGTATTATCATTTTTTTATTCTATTTTAAATTTCTGTTGATAGTGTGTGAAGTTTGTTTACTAATCAACAATTAATTTAGATAAATTGGGCTTTCACTAAAGTGACCTAAAAAAATTATTAACTTACAATTTTCAGAGCTTTAGAAGATTTTCTCGATTTTTTTTATGATCACAGAAGATGTACTCAATTTCGCAGTAATCTCAGAAGATGTTAATGATTTTTGCTGTGACGGCAAAAGATGTTCACAGTTTGGGGGGGGGATACAATTTTATAACTATTTTATTTTTTATGATTTCCTAAGCAACGTGATTTTGGGCCGGACCTGATCTAGACATGAAGGCCAACATTTTTGACCTGAAGTAAAAAAGTTTGGGCTGCAGACCACTAAAAGTATTAAACTGCTTAGTAGTTGA